CTCTACTCACCTAACTATATAGTTAGCGAAACTCTATTTCTTGATGAAGAAGAAGGTGGAGACTCCTGCCTATACACACCATTTGCTCGGATGTCCCGATAATCCTAGGATTGGTCAGAATAGCCCCAGTGCTAGTCCGTGAGACAAGTGCGGAGAGCTGTTGCGGCATCTGGTTAGCATCAAACTAATATGTAAGGGTGATGTTAAGGCCATTCCTAGTCGCTATAAAGATCAGTCTGGGATGCTTCAACAATTTCTTTTCGATAGGACGGATACCAAAGAATAGTCTTCATCAAGCGAAATGATCGATTTGATAATCATGACAAAAACATGGGAAGGTGATATTCTCAAAAGGTGCAAAAAATGCGCAGCTTTGTGATCTCTCTTATTTAGCTTCACATTAAATTAGATATGAATGTAGTTTAGATTGTCTTCCGTCATACACACAGTGAGTCAGACACTGTGTATCATGACAAAATGTCAGTAACAGCAATTGACACTATTAGAGAAGTGTTTAATCTAAGATGTTATCTAAAAGTTCAATAACAAAAATAAATCCTTATAGATCTACTGTGCTTTAGTGCAAAGCTCGAATTCGTTTGTCACAAACTCTATCTCAGTGTGAAATCACAAAAGTGTAAGCTGTCCACTGACCTGAACTGTTCAGGAACTTAAAGTTTCATAGATGGGCCTATCATCTTTTTTTAAAAGACGGTTCTCGCTTAAAGACTGCTTCGATACATTTTAGAGCATTGATTTAAATAGATTCTTATGATCCTTAAGATCACTACACGAAAAAGAAGATTCTGGGTAGCCAAGTGGGAGCTAGGAACTTCCACGAGCCGTTGAGAGTTACTTTTCTACTTCGCAATGAACGTCGTAGAATATTCTCCTATGGTAGCATACTTCATAACTGAGCATAACGTACAGTAAGAATAATCAAATAGTGTCAATACATTCTTGTAAGAAAACAGATCGTACGTAATGAAGTGTTTTTAGATGATGTTCAATTTCTGGCCTAGTTTTGTATAACATAAGAATGTTCGAACGCGATATCTGATCCATGCTATGCTATTATGATCAATGATTCTGGCTGAATCTTTGATTGGATCTGTTTTCAAATGAGGGTAGTTTAGTACGAGCAGGACACTGCAGTTTATGATTTATTTTGACTGTTAATCTACGTTGAATTTCCTATAGGTTGAAACGAAATTAATTTGTGCTTAGGAAACTTAAAAATTCGCGGTTTGCAACAATAGTGAATTATATATTGTAACCAACTTTAAAAAGTCTATGATATCTAGCTTGTCCACAGTGAGAATATCACGAAAAATAAAAATGAAATCGAATAGCAATCGCAAAATCATAGAACACATGGGTAAATATGATAAGACTTGTTGGGAAGAAATAGTTATTTCGATAATATAATCAATTTTTACAAGGATGCAAATATGTTAGTAGATATGCAGTTACAATCGCATATGATCAGTAGCGTTGGTCAGCAAGGCTCGAAGTCGAGCCGGATTTTTATGGCTCAGATCGAAGCTTAAATCAGGATGTTCCATCCGACGTGAAATGGCCTGTTAAGAAGTATAGAGAAACTTTCAGTTCTCAAAACTTATGTTCCCAGGTCGAAAAATCTGACATAAGATCTTATGAAATCATACAAGATCTTGGAATATGGGCGAAATCTTACAAGAATCTGACAAAAAATCGTGGCCTCTAAGAGCTTAGATAAATTCGTACAATCAGATTCTTAAAAGATCTTATTAATGTGTAAGATCTTTCAAGAATCTGATTATACGAATTTATCTAAGCTCTCAGAGACCACGATTTTTGTACGATTCGTACCAAATCGTGCAAGATCATACATGATCAGACGCAGAACCTTGTCCGACCTTAGTGTCCAGTTGTTCACCCTGGGTTGCGAAACAACCCAGGACAAACAGTCATACTGTAAGATCTGACAAGATTTTGGATCTGATCTTATATGATCTTGTACGATCATATAAAAAACAGACAAAAAATCGTAGTCTCTGAGATCTTAGATCAATTCGCATAATCAGATTCTTGATAGATCTTACACATTAATAAGATTTTTCACGAATCTGATTGCATGAATTGATCTAAGATCTCAGAGATTACGATTTTTTGTCAGACTCTTGTAAGATTTCACCCATATTCCAAGATCGTATATGTATTTCATAAAATCTTGTGTCAGATTTTTCGACCTGGGAAGAAGCCTCCAACAGGATTTCAAATCACCGATTACACTATTATCAACATGAGATTATTTCAAGAATCAGTTTTGATGTAGATTTAAACGAATTAAATACTTAACCAAATGAAAAGCACTGATGATTCATAAAAAGTTAGTATTCAACTTGTTGTTGAGTGGCGAGCCTCAAATATTTGCTCGACATGTCACGGGAAAATTTTCTGTAAGGTTTATCCAACCTAATGATAAGAGATATTCGAGCCAGATTCCTCCATCAGTCTTCCAGAGGTTTGTTACAAGCTCAGTTAAAAAGATAAACTCATTTGTAGTATTCTGACTTACTACCTAATGGTCAAACACATTATCCTTAATGTAGTCATAGCCAAATGTTGGAAGTAATTAAGTGATTTCTCAAAGAGAAACATCATCACTAGTTAGCAGCTGTTTGAGTAATGATCGATTTCATAACTACGTCTCTGTTTTTACTCTTTAACTTGAAAAAAATCACGACTGTACACTGAACTGCATAAAATATAGTAATGTGTTCAAGATATTCACGTAGCATAGTTACACCAGCATGGCACTCAATAGTGGAAAGGCATTCTGTATATTTCATCGCATTTCGTATTGGTAAAAAACCTTCCTTGCAGGAGTAAAAAATTATCATGCATAAGGTTAGAATTCTCGGCTCCATTATTTCTATAAAATACTTTGAGTTAATAGATATACGAAGAACGTTTTACCATTGAAAATGTATTAAACGTAGGCATATAGTGTACGTTCGAGTATGATCTTCAATAAAATTCTAATTTCACTCAGCCTTCTCACAAATTATGCATATATACACTCATACACCTTACTTACTCTATCTTGAATCAAAATTCAACAATGTGCTCTGTGATTATTCGTTAACGATTCATGCAACTTCATTCAAAATTTTGTAATTTTTTCACTGTATCAGCTAATTTTAAGATGCTTGTGGCACTAAAAACGATTTTACAGTATTCTCAGAGAATAGATATTTCTAGAACTCTCTGAAAGTATGATATACTCTCTTCAATAGTGGACACTGCATCTATTCATAGAATCCTAATTTAATGTTCTAGAAAATTATCCTAAAAATTCTGGAAGCTTTAAACTCGCTTCCTTAATTTGGCACAGATAGAAACGGAGTACTATATGTGTATAGCACTTTGTAATTAATGAAATAATTGTCTCTAAAGGAGGAACGTATTTCCTTCAGTTCATTGAAATTATGATTCGATCTAGATTAAAGTCAGCGTTGCTCCAATAATACCCACTATAACATTTGAGATGCAATGCAGTAATGTCTCTGTTGACGATTATTTCCATTTAATCCTTGACTAAAATGCATCCTTGGTCTAAAATTATACCAAATACTATATCCATATGCTTTCTGAGTTCTTCAATGATAAGTTTTGCCTCATGATGTAGAATTCGACAGTTTCCATCGAACATTCAAACGTATCAATACTTGAAACTATACTCTAATATTTGCGCTTATACTATGACAGTCTTAATAACACTCACTATTGCAATAGGGATGCACCGAACCCGGGAACAGACCGGGATTCCCGGGACTCACAATCTCGGGTTCGATCGTTCCCTGGTTCGGCCATTCCCGGCGTTCGGTTGTTCCCGAGTTCGGTCATTCCCGGCGTTCGGTTGTTCCTGGGTTCGGTTGTTCCCGGTTTCGGTCGTTCCCGCGGTTCGATCGTTCCCGCGGTTCGATCATTCCCGGATCCAACCAATGCTAACTGTCTGAACAATCCAAATCTTGTGTTCCACATAACAGTTTCACTAGCGGTTTCGATTTCGTAAGGAGACTTCAAGCTAAGGTAAACCAACGTCAAGGAATCCGAATTCGAAGTCAGATTTTCTAAATTTTCAATTAAACCTAGAGGGTAGAAGTCTGTGTGTGTGTTCGTTGCAGGTCAAAGGTCAAAAAAACATCCCATGGAAATTTTGTGGGGGGCTTTTCTCCGCTATTCCATTCACAAGACCTAGTCATGGTATGGCCGACCCTAGGGTTATCGATGACGCTCTATCGATTGATGGGTATATGTAAGGGTCTCCACCAATCCCAACACTCGAATTCCGCTAGACGTAAAAAATCTCAAAAGGTCAAAGGTCAAAAAAACATCCAATGGAAACTTTGTGGAGGGCTTTTTGCTTCTTCCAAGTCCTTAGGAATCTTATGGTACTGCTCCCACTACAGTTGAGCTCCAAGAGCAATCGCTACCTTCCTATGACAGAACCTGAGGCCCTAAGCATATCTTTCTATAATACGACTTAAGAACCTAAGGACACCTTCGTATAATAGAACCTGAGAAGCTAAGAATATCTTTCTATAATAGGACCGTTACCCCGTTACTGGGGAACTGGTAACGGGCCGTTACTGTTCCCAGGAACGGGGTATCGGGACCGTTAACGGTAACTTCCCACTCCTAGGTGGACCCGGGAACGACCGAACCCCGGAAAATTCGGGCTCGGTGCATGTCTATATTGCAACTCCAGAGAAAATCAGATCTTCCACAATGTTTCCATTCATCAGCATAGTTATAGCTTTATTCATAGCAAAAATCAGTAAAGAAATATTGTTTTGTTCATATTTTATTGATTTGATCAATTAGATAAGGAAGTAAGGGTTCTGCCAGTAGGTTATTATGAACGATGTCCCAAAGCCTTCTAATGAAGATAAATTAGAAAATATGTTCATTCTTTTCTTTTTTAAGACTTAGATAAGATTTCAGCCTTGATAATGTCCACAACGATAGTTATTGATACAAGTAAATCGTTATCAAATGGTACAGCAAGCAGTGGAAAGTATGTATTTGCTTTGAAGGTTTTTTTAAATTAATTTTACTGTTTTTCTCTAAAGTAAATTCACTCAGCTGGTGTCGTCGATGAAACTTATCGACAAAATCTTTTTTGGAATTGTACTCGGACTTTGCATTATTTTTGTTATTCTGGTTCCTATATTAAATGTTCGACTTTATGGCATATCAAGCGCATCATGTGAGTTTATGTTTTATAGCTCAGATTTTACAAATAAGAGAAACGCAGCTACATGAGTCAAATACTTGAGAAAGTTCTATAGTTGAGTCCTAATCTTTGGTAAGTATCCCCTAGTATCAAGTAATAACTTGAAATACAATAGGTTCCTTTAAGCATAGGTTTCTAAATACTGCAATCGATAGGCATTTTCGTAGCCCTTTTTGAAGGAGAGAAAACTGAAGCTCTTTAACTCTGAAATCGAACTTGAACACAAGCAGTACATTGTACTTCCGCTAAACTCATTTGAGTTAGACTGCACTTATGCTTCTCATGTCCTTTGACATATGGAAGTCTATTTTTTTTCTTTGCTCACAATTCAATTTTGGTCGCAAATCTGAGGCTATATATTGTACATATTCTTAAACCAATACACTATTGAAAATTTTATCTTCTAAAGACAGCGTCGTTTTTTATGACAAATTGAAATTCTGAATATACTATGAACAATTAAAGTATATGCAAAATAACATCATTTTGTGAAAAATCTCGATTTCGCACAATGTGGAGTAGAAATTGGAACTAAAAATATGGAATAATGTATAGCCAAATCAAAGGAGCTACCTGATTTTTGACATCGACTTCTTAATACTGCTTTAGGAAACATAATGTGAAGTTTAGAATATGTTGCACTCGAGTTACACATTCAAAAATGAATGAATAAGAATTATGTATGATTACATAGACTGATTTTTCAAGACTTTTAACATTTTTGGAGGTACTGTTTCTAGCCAGTTTAAAATATCTGGTATTGGTTTTGGAGTCTAAAAAGTATATCATGATTGTACTATTTACAGATACTTTGAATTCTCATTAAAATAAATGAGAAGCGTACGAAGTATGATTACTGCAGTTCCATTGCATTTCAAAATTCAATTCTAGAATGATTAAGTAAACTTCAGATCAATGTTAGTTTATCATTAAAACCTAATATCGATAATTTTTTCTGAAAAAAATTGAACATCATCAAGTCACATTATTAATGTAACATATTTTGATGGGATACCGCATGATCTTATCAAAATATGAGCTTTTTATTTTGACATCTATCATAAAAGGATCAGGAAAGAAAATAAAATCATTCCATTTCTGGCATCAAATAATCATCTTGGCTGTATTGATCTAAATTTTCGTTTCGATATTGCCATTTTCGTATTCAGGTAGTTTGCCATACAGTTGGGATAGCACTGGTACTACGATTGTTACTGAAGCAGATGTAAGCAGTGGTGTTGGCTTGTTTATTCGCAGTGATGTACTTTATATATCCAATGACGATATTCAACCCGACATATATCAAATGGCAACATCAGCAGCTTCACCAACACTTCTCTTTTCAAGTGCTAGTCTCTCAAGTCCTCAATCAGTTTATGTTGACAGTACAGCTAGTTATGTTTATGTGCCGGACTTTGATCAATCATGCATTTTAAAATTTACTATCGCGGGAGTGAGTAGCGGAACGGTCGCAGGAGTTTGTGGTACAGCTGGTAGCGATTCAAGCTCATTGAACGGACCACTAAGTATCTCATTTGATTCGACAGAAACTTACATGTACGTCGCCGATACAAATAACAATCGAATTATCCGATTTCTGGCAAGCGGAACCAGTCCGAATGTAGGAACTGTAGTAGCAGTAAGTAGCATTATTGAAAAGAAATTTTTTGGCAAATATTGTCTTTTCTATATAAGTTGACATGATTATAGTGGAGCCCAATCCATATGCAGACGTCAAAAATGCGTCAAGAAGACAATGTTTAATCCTTTCTTTTACCTCCCATAGTATCATAACTACCTTTCATTTGGTACTTTAAGTTCTCAAATCACAGACACCTAGCTTGTCAAACAATACTTTTTAATTTCTTAGACAATAATCTCCGCATTTAGAGAGGGCTGTCTTGAAAACAAAATATTCAATCCACATTTACTTTAGATAAATAAGGTATCAGTATAAAATTAAAATGCTATTACCCCAATCCTTTGCGGAATTAAAAGTGTGAAACACGATGAAACTATTGTGTCTAATTCAATGGAAATTGTATTATTCCATTCTTTATGACGCATTTGTTGCCAGTCGTCTATCTGATGCTTTAGAGCAAGTTTCTCTGTTATGGTCTGTGGGAGCGGGATGGGAGTGGATCTAACATTTCTACCCTAAACGATTCAACACTCCTTTCAGATCGTCTTTCATAAAAAATTAATGCTTGATATAGTTATTTGCTGAATTATTCTATCTAGTCGTGTAGAATGATTTTGTAAACGTTTTTCCTAATTTTCAAAAGAATTTAGCTGGAAAGATACTGTGTAGATTAAAACATTGTTGTGCTAAAATTTTTACATTAGTCATTTCGGCTAATTACTTTTGTTATATTTTCAATCAGAACACTCGAGTCGGCAATCATGCATTTTCGCGGCTAATCTAGAGAGACACTTTTAATAGTTTTCCTCACTAGTCTAACATCCTTGAAGTAGTCATTACTAGATTATAAACATTTTGTTAGAAAGTTCGTGTCTATTGGCTAATATTTTACTTATATTTAACTTCATTGTTGCATAATACCTGATACTTTTGTAAATATCCATTTAGCTCTATAGGAATACTGTATATACATACATATTTAGTCAAGAATAATTATATTATACATGTCGATCGATCGATTCATAACATATGTATCCAGTATGTTCATAAAACTTTTGATTTATTTAGTAATTCATTTGAATCATTGTCTATAGATATTTCGCTTAATTTCGGTAATAATAAAAGATACATTATGTTATTTAACACCTATAAATAATAGATATTTGTACTAGAGATCTAGAAGTTTCATGCACAATGTCTTCTATATACAACAAAAACTGAAACAATACTTTGTAGTGTTGATGCTGAGTTGCCAGTGACATGTTGTATATTTTCTGTGATTCGTTCAAGTGTTTCAACGTATCTGATGAGAATGGAGTCAATTCAACTGCAAAATCTTTGAAAAAAGATGGTACCACTCAATATCATGTTTCTCTTTGCACGGATTCTACTGAAATTTTTGCACTAGGCGGAGTCAATATGAAAGACGTCGAAGTGCTGCATATTCAACTGAGATTTCGCTGAAATATCTATCTATTTATGGATAGAATATAAATTAACTTTATATGCCCTTCTTAAAATGATAAAGAGCTTAGGTTGATCGATATAAATTGACAAAAGGGATATGTAGCTTGCAGTGCTCTTGAAAATGTTATTTATGTGGTTATTAGGAGAAAGGAAAGATATAGAGATCAGATAAGCAGAAAGATGAAACATCACCTGATGGCGACAAAAGTTCGTTTTATCATTGTAGAACATTTATAGAATGTCGAGTGAAAGATAATTGATTAAGTGTACATTCGTGTGCAATACATTAAGAATTCCTCTGTTGGCACGATCATTCCCGAGAAAGTCAACTGTGAACTACATGTTCGAATAGTATTTGTAGCCATATCTGATAATAAAGTCTGTGGGCCTCTCCTTTAAATAAAAATAATATTGCATAAAAATAACAAACAAGATAGTCTACAGGACATCTTTTATTTGTATCTCATAATGCTTAATATTATTCCAAATTCTTTTGAATTTTCAGAATTTTCGCAGTAATTCATTTTGGAGACTTCCAAGTGCATATTTTAGAGAGGATTGATCATCTTCTGATAGCTAGATTTCATTGCCCTGTTAATGATTTGCTAATTGATCTCACTGAGTTACATATTTATACTTGATAGGATGGTAGCAATAGTCAAATGACTTCACCAACTGGTGTATATTATGATTCGACAACTAATTATTTATACATAGTTGATGTGACAGCAAATGTTGTTCTGAAATGGAGGCCATTTGCTATTAGCGGTACTGTTGTTGCTGGTATGTATAGTGTTATATTAATACAATCATCGATTTGAAGCACTTTGTTTTTTTCTATTTAAGGAGTTTCAGGGACAAGTGGCTCTACGTCATCACTTCTTAGTGCACCATATAGCGCTTATTTCGATTCATCATCAAAGGTGTTATACATAAATGATTCTGGAAATGGACGAATTATAGCTTTTTGTGAAGGCTCCTCTTCAGGAACAACCATTGTTGGTACAGGTCAACTTGGTAATGAAGCAACAGAATTAAATTTTCCATACGCATTTTCATTCGATTCATCATGGAATCTTTATGTCATGGATACTTTAAATAATCGAGTGCAAAAGTTTGCTAAAATATAAAAGCATTGAATTCATATTTAACTGAAGACAAAATTTTAAGTGTTCATCCTTAACATACTTTTTTTTGGAATTCTTCTTATTTTTCACGTGTGTCACACAAGCCATCTTTTTTTTTCACCTATCTCAAACACCTGTAGTGTATCCACTCCACTTTATATTTATGCAGAATGATGTGTTTTACATCAAAGTGATACAATGAAAACCGTTTTTTAAAGAAAGCATTTTAATGGAATGAGAATGATGTAAAACTCATTAAAGACATTGCATAACTTTCATTTTTCCAAAATAATGAAAGTCACCTGCTGAGAATGATGTTAAACCAACGAAAGTCCTCTCATGAAAACAATGTCAGATTAATGAAATTCATCAAAGTTTTTGATGAAACGTTCTAAAAGACTGATTTAAATCAAATGACTTTGATCTTTTTATTCCGTCGGTTATACAGTGGCATAAATTCTATAAACCACATTGAAGGTCCTTTGAATAATGCTGCTAGAGTACACGTCGTCCACATAGCATTGTGCTTATTTTTGTTACTCTGGAAATGTTATATATATCCTGAAAATATATTGCGTCTTTACGTGAATGGCCGTTGTGAACATGCCTATTACAATGAACTATCGTGGGTTCCAACCCATTCTGAAAAGGACTAACAGACAATAGGATTGAATACAGTATATGGTATTCATGAAACCCGTTCATGACCATTGAGAGCGGCTTTGGGATGAAAGGAGAAGTATAAGTGACACAATTGGATTGTTTTGTAAATTAATTTTCATATAGGGCCAATTTGTTTACAACCTCTCCTCTATCATTTTGCTAATTTTCCATTGTTTGTTTGTGACTTGTTGAGTTTTTAGGCAGACTAAAAGGAGTTTGTGCAAGGAGAAAAAACATTCACCTGAAGGAGCTCGTCAAATCTAGTTGGAGAGTCGATTATCGTTGTTGAAGGGTGTGGGATGTGGGTGTGGGTGCGGGTATGGGTGTGGGTGTGGGTGTGGGTGTG